CAATTTACAATTGGCACACGAAGTTTACGTCGGTCGACCATTCCATCGACCAAGACCGTCCGGGACGCTCAATAGAGTTGGGTTTGGAGGTGCTGCGGAGCGAGGTGGAAGCCGATCCGTATCAAACTACTCGTGAACTAGCAGTTACCCTTGGGAAGTCAGTCCACAATTATTCGGAGATTGAAGTAAATCGGCAAGGTGCGAAAGCTCGGTCGATGGGTGCCTCGTGCTTTGAAGCAGTATGACATGGATTTTCGCGCCGTCATGGCACTTTCTCTCCTCAAGCTCAAGCGCAGGAGATGGTTAGGTGTACTCGCTAGTATGTGTTTGGAAGAGCTTTTGGTACTCTATCTAGCGTTGTCTCGCTCGTCCATTTTTGTCGCTTCTTTCCCAAGTTATTATCTCCGGAAGTCATTACTATCACTTTGTCCGAGGACTTATGACTCAACCTAATATAAAACGCAACCTACGTACCTCATGCTAGTTCGCCATATCGGCAAACGAGGGAGTCTATGGCAAAACCAAAATTAAATCAGTAAATAAAGGATTAGAGATGTCTGTAGTGCATTCTTTATTCATTCTTCATAAAGATGAGCTGAAAAAACTATCTGTGGATATAGTGCTTATGACAGGTTCAATGGTTCCCGTACGACTCGCAGAATTGTACATTCATCATTTCGAGTTGGACTCATGATAAGGCTACGATCGACTACTGGGCCGAGCATCCAACTGTGAATTTGAAGAATATGGCCCGAAACGATGAATGGGAAGTGCTCGGATTTGAGTTTGAACGCATTGAGGTAAGTGTCTCATGCGTGTACTGTGCCACACTGCTGTTTTTAAACTATTTTGGCCTTTTGGTGTCCGGCTGAAGTGTATGAATGGTATCGAAAAAGCGTTATGGAGAATCTGACACTGCGCACGGTGCTGAGCAGGCAGTTCAAGGCCTAAATGAACCCAGCGCTTTTTGAGGGAAAGGATGACGAGGAATAGGATATTTTCAGAGTGCAAATGACATACTAGCGTTTTATCTTGCTTACTTTCTTATACGACTCGTCTTCATTCATGTGCGAGCACCATCAACAAGCCATCCTTTTCTGTATTCATAATCATCATCACACTCAGTTTCTGTATTTCGTGATCATCATACAGGTTGACCTAAAGTCGACGAAGATGACGATATGAGGAGTTGTTCAATCGCATTCGCAAGTAGTTTGCGTGGTCGACGAGCGCATCCTTCCATCCCCTCACTCGTATTACAGTAGTCTTCCTTTCCATCGTCGAGGTCCTAGGGAGCCCACGCAATCGTTTTTCTTGTCCATCTGTCATCCTCTCTTCTCATGATATGACCGATCCATCGAAATTTCGCGTTTTTCATGCCCTTCACCGGATCACCGATGACGAGACATCCTGCACATCTCGGAGCTGTAGGGTAAGGCTCGTCATCGAGTGAGCCGGTTGAACGACAAAGGCATCGCTCTAGTGCTTTGTTCGTGACTTACGCACAATGCCCTTGGCGTGGCTGCACTGGTTGCCCATGTCTCTGACGCGTAACGGGGTGCAGGGAGAGCTGTGGAAACAAACAGATTGTCGCAACAGATTAGCCAGATGGTTGACGACTTCTTTCAGAGGTCCGCAGGCCGCCCACGCTGCTTTCTGCCGTCTTACCAGCTCCCCCTTGGTGTCGTTGCCTATGTTCGTGAAACGCTCTGCATAAACTAAGACGAGATCTCCTTGATCGGTACACGACCGACCTTAACTTTACCTTCGTCAGCCCAAGTATTCTACATGAACCGTGTCTTAGTTGGTTGATCCCAGCCCCACCTTCCTTTCTGCTTTATCGAGTTCTGCAAGCACAATCTCAGCTTCCGCAACGCTGCTTGAAAAGAATACAATGTCGTCCGCAAAACGGAGATTTTAAAGGAATCGCCCATCCACCCGAATGCCCCTTTCTTCCCAGTCTAGTTCACAACCCACTGCAAAGTAGCTCACAAAGCAGCTTTGGCGAAATGGTGTCGCCTTGTCTCGTACCCTTCCGAATAGTAATGGCGAGGAGTCGTTAGAATAGCTGCACTGTTGTACGACAGCGCCTACTACAGTCGGCTGTTCTAATATAATAAGGCTCTGCTCTTTGATCGACCACTGCTGACAGGACTGCATTCGTTTCGAAGCTGTCAAAGGCTTTTCCATAGTCAACAAAGATAAGAACAAAGGGCATTCGGAATTCTCGACACATTTCGATGATCATTGCGACCGCTTGGATGTGACCTATGCAGCTGAATCCCTACTGAAAACCAACTCGTTCAACCGGTTTGGTTTCATAAAACGTTCGCGATTTGCGGGTCGACCTTCGTGAACAGCTTGTAAGGATTACTCAACGAGCTTGGTGGCGGTATTTGCTAAGATTATCCCGATCTCCTTGCTTGTGAAGAATGTCCATCCGCGAGTTCCTCCACTGGTTGGTAACTCTCCTTCTAGAAGTAGGATATCACGTGCTTTGCGAGAAGCGCATGAAGTTCGTGACCAATGCACGTAGTAGGCCGGTTGAGAACTTGTCGGGGCCTGGAGTAGTAACCCTTTTCATGCTTGCAAATGCAATTCCTACCTCTGCCTAAGAAAGATCCGAGGTGCTGTTCGTCCAGTGGGGATGCGTAGATATTCAGCTACAGGTTAGTGTCGATCCTCTGTCTAACCTACTCTAGCTCGAGTCTCGATGTTGTGAGAGTTCCGCCCCCCTTCTTCAAACTTGAAAAGGCTCAATTTAGACATCGGGTCGCTGAGATGCTTTTAAGCTTTCCTCAGTGACTCCGAGTGACGCGCCAGCTGACACTGGTCGATTGCTACATCGAATGCTGGGCGGTCTCGGAGGATTCACAAAGCTCCAGAGAATGGCTCTCTTTCCAATCGCCTGCAAGCCCTGGGGGTCTCGAACTGCAGTGGTGGGGCGACGGAGACGTTTGGCCGGATAGTAACAAATTGAAGCAATCGTTTCAGGCTCTGAAAAAGGTGATTCTGCGAGAGCGTCGGCTTACCAGGGCTTATATAGAAATGAAGAGTCAAGATGACAACCTACTAGTACAGCTATTAAGCTATGTTACGATAGTTCAAAAATCCTGCACCAAACAATGGCGCAACCTTTTTTTATGAGCGGCACTGGCTTTTCATTATCGTTTATATCACTGTGGTTTCTGTCAGTTCCAGCAGCCGATGTACGGCAAATGGTGAGAACTAAAAAACTATGCCATCATCGATCATCGAAATTAGAGGTGGCTTATTCTACTTCTTGCTCAACTCCTACGGGCGAAGCTGTAGCAGTGGCAAGTAGCGTACTGTCACCACGCCACGCGTACACGGATTCAAGTGTACTATCGAGGCCAGTCGGAGCCTTCGATTTCTCTGGGGATACTACCACAGACGTGAGCCCGGTATCTTCTCCCCGAAAATGGCGTCGCGTTCGCCGCACCCGATCGCGCGCTAGGAGGAGAAGGTTTGAATTCCCATGCAGGGATAGGTAGCCGCCGCGTGACCTCGCCGCTTGCCGTGGGAATTCGGGAAGTTCAGGCACCCCCAGACCCATCTGTGAGGATAAAAGCACTGACATGACATGTACATTGGCTGGTTCGCGCAATTCACTGTATAGGCTATAATTCGCATTCCCTACGCCACTATGATTTTGAACGGAAGTCGTATGCAAGGGTGCATCCCAAAACGAGTCTCTACCCAACCCGTGAACACGGAAACTTCTTGAGGCTCTTTTTTTTCAGCAAATCTTCAAATGTTGTGCAAATCCGTGGGTACTGCTCTACGCACACTTGGTGATTCGGAGGAAGCCGCTTTACTATGTTATNATTCACTGTATAGGCTATAATTCGCATTCCCTACGCCACTATGATTTTGAACGGAAGTCGTATGCAAGGGTGCATCCCAAAACGAGCTTCTACCCAACCCGTGAACACGGAAACTTCTTGAGGCTCTTTTTTCAGCAAATCTTCAAATGCTGTGCAAATCCGTGGGTACTGCTCTACGCACACTTGGTGATTCGGAGGAAGCCGCTTTACTATGTTATCAACCTTGTGAGTTACACTTTACCATAGACAGTTTGTGATGATATGACTTTTTCTGCCCTAGGATATGATTACGTTGAACCACAGGTAATCCCTACGTCGATCATCACAATCGTGGCTATCACTGGTTTCTTCACACCCACCTCGACCTCCAGTGAACGCGATGAAAAATTGTTAGTCTTTTAGATCTAATATAACGTTTCGAGCCTATCACCACGAGTTTATGCTTGAGCTTAATCAACTTTTTCACCATTTCCTTTTATGATTTTGTTTTCAAAGTACATATTTTCAGTTTTCCTTTTTGTACAACTTTTGATTCTCATTATTCTCTCCACAATTTATTTTTTTTTTTACTCATTTGATATTTGTGGTACAAAACAATATACTTATGGATTGGATATCAAAACGTCGCCACAAAGCTCTAAATGATGAAGTTGCTAGTGTTTTGACTCAAACTTCCTTGTCAAAGAGCTTAAAGTACACATTCATCTTCCTTGTTGCTGGTCTCGTCCTTACTTCTCAACAGCCACACCCCCTACTGAAAGCCGTGCTCATATTTAGAAAAGTAATTTAAAAATTTATTTAATTTTGATTTATTTAAGATTTAAAAATCGAAGTTATTCGATGGCAATTATTATTTCTCTCTTCTGATCGATTTTTGATCCGTGAAGGTACCTTGGTATCAACACACTTCTCACGATGTCGATTATGATGCTTATGGTTTGCAATCAGATGCCGTCCACTTCGTCGTATGTACCACTGATGAGTAAGGTTTCCACTTGAATATTTTCTAATTTTTTAGCCGCAAGCAAAATAAATTCACTATTATTTATACAAACTGAAGGGTATCATTTTTGCAGGTTGGTACTACCTTGGAATCATCATCGTCATTGTGCTCGGAACTCTACTGGCTACGATAGTTTTAGGCGAGTTTTTACGCAGAAGTTTAAAAATTCAACATGCGTTATTGCTATAAATCGTAGCATTTGTGAATACTAACGTCGTTTTCAAGTACTGAAGTAATATCGTACTAGTGATGTCCTCAGATCTTCGCTGTCTCCCATAACCCTCCTCCCACAAACAACTCGTTAACTTCACCTTTTCACATCGGGGTGTTGCTTGGTGGGAAAAGGGAAATAAGATCAAGGAAAAATTGCGCAAATCAGTAGATTATGTTTACTAGCTGTTGAATCTATGAACAGCTGGTGTGTAGACGTTGATCAATCTCTTTTGTACGGTCTACCCTCTTATCGTTTGTTCAAAATCGCAGAAGCATCTGGATGCCACGATCTGACGCTAGTCAGGGGGAGACCGTCAACGTTTATTATCGCAATAATCTCACACTTCTGTACGACCAGCAACTAGTATGGTCATTGGCTCAGAGACTGTGTTGACACCTTCACTGCCACAGGGAACGGCTTATAAAAAACTTTATCTAAAGCGGGACACAAAAAACCCGACAAACGATTAAATACCGGCGATGTGCTTGAGCTGTGTGGGTGGCAGCTGCTCGAGCTGTGGCTGGTGGCGGCTAGGGTCGGCAAGGTGGAGGAAACTGAGGAGGCTACTTTTTCCCCTCCGTATATAGCAAGTGGAGGAAAAGTAGTCTTTTCATGCCNCGGGCATGAAAAGACTACTTTTCCTCCACTTGCTATATACGGAGGGGAAAAAGTAGGTAGTAGTCAACCCGCCTGGGGTTGCCTCCCACTCGTGGTCAGGTCGACATGACTCACCGAGCTTGGGGGGAGGGGAAGCCGGCCCGGCTCTAAAAGGTGCCTTTCTCTTGACCTCCTTATTCCACATTTCTAACTAATCAATTGTAGTGCAGTAGAGAGTGGCCAAAACTGCATTCAATTTCTCGACCATGAACTCAATAAGTATGTAATCCTTCTCCAGTGTAAAATTACCAAAAGCATAGTTAGCTCTGCAACCGCTCATTACAAAAAACCTTCTGATGTTTGGCATTCCTCGAAAACACTGATTTCACTATATCAATCTCAGGCGCTACAATACAGAGAGTTCTCTCATTCTTCTCTCCATATTTCGGTCATTTCAGCGATTCACGGTCAAAAGCGTCACAATCGACCGTTGTCACGATGGGCACGTGGTCTCGTGCTTAACCGTTTCGTTGAGACGTTCATACTGAGACCACCGTGTGCACTCGTCGACTTGTGGAGCGAATACGGTATCGTCGAAGAACGTCGTCTGTCGATGTCGAAGCTTGACCCACTTCTCGTGCAGCAACTTGATCCTATCTCGGTAGGTCATTTTTTCCTTTTCGAATGGCTGTTACATCAAAATTGTTGAACGTAAGTTGTTTCGATGAATCAAAAAGATGAAACCGAAAATTCTCACATCTCGAAAAAAAAGTGTGAAAAGTCTCTCATTTGAAACTGAACTTTCAGTTTTTCTGGCATATGTTATATGCTATAAAGAAGTGTGTGTCCAGAACGTTCAGAAAAAGGCATCAAACAAGTCTAAAACTGTTCGCGATGCATGACGAAAAGAGGAAAACTATCATTACTGGGTTCTTTAATACGAATCGGAGTTGGTGCAACTGCGCGCAGATGGGGTCAGAAGAGAACCAAATAAGGCAAAAAAGAAGATGCTGCTTCTCTTAATTGCCTGGCTACTTCTTTGGACCCAAATTTTGGCGTTTATAGCCACTCTCATTTTCTTTCTTTCTAGGAATTGTGAAGGAAGGAATTCTGGATTTCGTTCCACGATTAGTTGACGCATTTTAGAAGAATTCGTTCCAGCTCATGCCTCCTCGACCTCGAGCATTTTTCGGCTCCATTTCGTCAGATATGTCGGAAACATCGTCCTACTCCTATACAACAAGGCTTGCGACTCTCACCCGACAGTACACCACTCAAGTACAGTTTTGGTATTATCATTTTAACGGACAGTCCGTTCTCATGCCATTTCTGTTTTAGCGAAATATCTTTTTTTCGATTTCGCTATTTGAAAGTATTAGAACGCATATCTGAAGCCGGCGAAAAACTTCCATCCCTACTTGTACAATATGTTAGCCGAGTTGTTAAATTTTTTTATACACTTTCTCATGGAGGCAGCAAAGGTAAGGGTTGTTGATTGTAGGAAAGGCTTCTGTCATCCCCTCTCCTTTTCTTGAACATTCCACATCCTAACTCCCTTTGCCAAATTAACTAACTTAAAGAATCATTGTCGGAATGGTCAGCATGCGCTCACTCGAATAATGTCAGTTTGATAAGACAGATTTGAGCTTTTACTCCAAATAACTTCTTTTGAAGTTTAAAGATCATGTCCTGACTTACTGAGATTGGAACGAGTAGTTTGGGATTGTTAATGATCCAATATTCACGGTTCAGGTCCGAGTAAGAGAAAAAGAACGGCGGTCGTTCCTCCTCAAGCAGTCTCATCATGCACGGAGTGTGAAGCGGCAGAAAATGAGCAGGAGGTGGGTTTTCCTCGTCAACAGCCTTATACTGCCCCAACATTTATACAGAGTGCGCTGAATGCATCAGTACGTAGTAGTTCAAAAATTTCATAAACAAATCTCAAAAAAATTGCAATAGCGTCGTATCTTCAATTTTTTCAAGTCGACGTCGATTTTCTTTCATTCGGAACGAAGAACACTCTTCAGTGGCTTCACGTTTTCACAACGAGAGCACAGGCCTTTTTCATCAGATGAACCATGTGGCACAACCCTCAGGATCATTGATGAAAAAAAAAAGGGGGGGGGGGGGGGGGGTNCCGATTCTCTGCAGCAAAGCAGGCCAGTTCGCATGTATATGGTCTCGGCGAAATTTGTGGATATAGAGAAATTTCAATAAAGTGGAGTTGCGTTACACTGATAGAAAGATGTGAGCGAGAGATAGTAGAATTAGGGCTTTTCTATTGGCCTTATATTTCAAGAGGTGAACGTGAATCAATGCCATCGCCCAGTACCACGCGCACATTTAAAGGATCGGGTCCCTGATCGCATACGCGCTCAAGTAAACCAAACCTTACATTCTTCTGAGTATTTTAGGTGTTGCTAGATGGATGAAGGGGGAGGGGTGGATAAAAGAAGTGAAATGAACAGATTTATACATCAGCTTCCCCCTCCAGTCACACGAGCCTAATTATTATTTTCAGGTGTGCTCTCGAATGGGAGTACCTAGCGAATGTGATCGATCGTGTACTGTTAACGATGTTCTTCATAGTGACTATGTCGCTTTTCTTGCTTCTGGTTGCTTTTGACTATCTCTTTACCGTACACAATCACGTCCAGTAGGTCGTAACAATCCTGACTTCTTCCTTGAATGCTGAATAATCTTATTTGCCTCGATCTCTTTTACGTGCTCACTTCATAGCGAGTATCTCGCCAATCTATGTGATTTGTTTTCCTCAAACGAGATATCTTTTGAGGAGTAGCAATAGTGGCTGCTACGCAGTTCAGGTTTCGTCTACAAATGCGTTGCTAAAGGAACCCTTGGCCAAGCCGAGTATCATCGCAGGACGGACTATTTGTATGCTAAAATATCATCTTGTAGGCAGCACTTATTAAAGTCAACCCACTCGTTCGCATCGCTCAAAGTTCATAGTTAGTTCCCTCAACCTTCACGTAATTATCATAGAATGGTCCTCCTCCTTCGGATCACGAGAAGGACTCCACTAAACTGCTTGTCGTTCCCAATAAGAACAAGTTGCCGTCTACAATGCTGTTGATCGAATGGCAACATCGCTCTACATAACATGCACACATGGTGCGAGCGTCAAAACATGAACGGTGCTTACGTTCATGGCCACTTCCTCAAGCCGTCCAAATAGGCAACCCAAAGGCTCTCCCACACTGGCTGTACAGTATATTGCACAAATGCATAATAACAAAATGATGTCTCAGACCTGCAGAGCCATAACATACAGTAGCGCCCAAAAGTATTCGGCCAAATGCTTCTTCAATCGTAGTTTCAGAGCCGTTAGTAACTCCTTTCCTACTGGATCTAATCATGCAAAATTTCAATATGTGTAGCATGGGTGTATTGTGAATATTTGCCACTATTAACCTGCAATCTGATCATATTCCAGATAGCCCAAAAAGCTCGAAAAAATCAACTATAGAAACGGGTGATGGTTCTTCTGAGATTTCCTTCCTTTTTGCCATTTTCAAAGGATACGAACGCTGATGCTGAACCCAATAGAAGAGAAAAACGCACATAAGGTGCGAATAACTGCAGACGTTGCTAACTCTGCTTTTAGCCGAAATCTGCTACCGCAACAGACACCTTACATTAGTTATGAGAATGTTGCTGCTTTGCAGTCAAATAATGCTGACTAGGGTGAAATATGCTTTGGTTAAACATATCAAATTTTCGCGCGATTTGCTCCACAAAAATTTGTGAACGAAAAAGCGCAAAACCATTTGGCTGAAGGCTTTTGAGCGCTACTGTAAGTCTCATAGGGAGCTATGCAGCAATAAACAGGTCGCACGCGAGTGATGGATGAAGCTAAGACCCTGCTAATAGCATTCAGAATTACACACCCCAGCTCTTGCTATGCCGTATGAAGAGTGCCTTCTCAGTCTTTCCAAGATTCACATCAAATAGGTTTTTTTTTTTGCAAAAATCGAATTCCCATGGCGATGTAGAAAATTCAATTTTTTAAAATTTCATTCTATTCAAGTAAACTCCGAAATCTTGATTCTAGCCTATCTCCAAAGTCGAAAAGGGTGCTGATTACTGCTTCTTTTACACTTTTCAGCTTCTTCTAGTCATTGAATGTACAAAGATGAATACCATGTGATCGCATATTGTTTTCGTTGTATCGTTTTTCCGATGAACTTTTAGTTATCGGTTAGAAGAACAATAAAAATTATTACAATGATCAGTACTATCGTTGCCACAGCGATTGCCATGAAAAGGCTGCGATTGTGAGTCCGCCGTGCTTCCTTCGAATCTATAGCTGTCTCGGGATAGGAGTCCACCCAGAAAGACTTCGCCACCTGATTACTGTGAAGCGTAAGTGACGTAGCACAGACATCGTCGCCCGGAGAGCTGAAATGAAAGACAGGTACTACATTTCTGAGGAATGAGTTTCGTTAAATACGAGTCATATCGCCGCGCGGCCCCTACAAATACGACTCGAAGTCTGTACGCTTACAGCATACTCTTAAAAAATCTCATTTCCTGCTGTTTACCTAAACAACAACTATCATTTGGAAGTTTGATCCTTCTTTGATTCGATTCCCTGGTCCCGCTTGCTGCGGCTGAGAACCCTTGGAGCGTAGTCGTCGTAATCTAACGGAAAGGAATGGGGCAAGCTCCGTTTTTTTATATGCTACTGACTTTGAACAGTCCTCATCAATGCACTTGTCAATCGTTTATGTCAACCTACACTATCATCCCGTCTTATCCTACCGAATATTTCACAATATCAAGGCTACAGCGTATATACTGGAGATGTTGATCCACTATTAGTCTTCAGCAGCTCTTATCGCTGTCTGTAACCAATTATCTGCGAGTTATTCAGACCTCATTTCTATCAAACGCTACAAGTCCCTTTCACTAGACATTTACGATCCCTTTACATCCCGTATTACCTACGAAAGTGGGGTTCCAGTACTGACATGAGGGGAGTTACCAACCAAGTGTCTCTTGCTTACCTTATCGCTTATTCTTGGCTCCTTGCCAGCTTTAATTATTTGCTATCAGTTCAGATACAAACCAACTACGTCCTTCTCCACCCAACATTCTCCCAGCCGCAACGGATTCTGCGGCTTTTGCGTTCTTGGACTTCTTACCATTCTCTATTAACTACCATCAGTGTTTGCGTTCTGCAGCCTGAATCCCTTTCGCATTTGAACGTATTATGCCTATTTTAAGGAATGGACTTATGAATTTCCGGTCAAACATACATGCATCGGCACACATAAACACAACACACATATCGACACACTGCATAAATTGATACTTCGTCCAACAGAAAGCGACATAGCTCATGAACGTGAACGAAAGGCACACTAAGCTGCATTGTTGTTGTTAGATCGAAATTTCAGATTTCAACTGAGGTTTCTGAAATGATCGACTTATTGTTGATCGTAATAGTGCACAGTAGTCATCTTGTAAAAGTTTGTGGGCAAAAGGCAGGCAATGCAACTATCGATCTAAAAACAAGCGCTTCTCGAACCGAGCGAACTCCTGCACATCGAGTAGTCGATTCCGTGTTCGATCTTCTCGAAAACTCAGCATGTTGAAGAGTGTGCTACACTGTTGTGCGTAGAAGGTTTGTTAAATACGGGCCACATACTCGGTCAATTCCCCAGACAAATCACCAAAATCCACGGCTTGGAAGTGGCTGTGACCTCATAATCCGCAGCCTACCCGATCAAACATTAAGCGCCCTACACCAATTGAACAATTCCCAGAAGCTCAAACACAGCACTCTAGGCCAAGTGAGCAACCTTCTACGAGCGCGAATGTCACTTCTCGACACATTTCACCATGGTTTCGATTTTCCTATTTGGGACAAATAACGAAAGTGCGTCAGTGGTGAAGAAAGCGCGAAAACTCGCTGAATTGGAAGAACATAGTGTTTTTTGAAATCAGTGGAAACAGGAGGTTGTACGAGACTACTACGACGGAAATGCCATGGTAGGAGTATTTTGACGAAATTTCAGTCCAATTGCGTAGAAAGCTGTCTACACTCAGCCAGAGGTCGTTCATTAGGTTACCGTGAACTGTGTGTTGAAAACCAAACAATGCAGCAAGCGTAAAATGTAAGTGCGTGCCATGTTTCATGTCGAACATGCGTCCAAAAGTTCTGTCGATGTGGAACAAAGTCAAACATAAATCGCATCTCCAAGAATTAACCGCATCATTCTCTTCTACTTGAATTAGTCTTACTTACGTGTTCCAACGTTATATTACCAGAGAGCAGCTTAAAAGCCTGGGAGAAAGGAACGCCATTTTCTTAGAGTAAGATTTATCGACATGTCGGAAGGAAATTTTCTGTGTTCTAAGACGTAAATAAAATATTATAATAATCAGGAAAAAAGCAAAAGAAGAAAAGAACTGACGAAACGATGATTCGAGGTGAGTTATTGGCGAGTTTTGTCGGTGAAGAACAAGACGTCGACGGGATCAAATACTGTCTGAAGCCCTCACTACCCGCGCTACGTGAACTGAGCTGGCGAGCCGTCGTTTTTGTGCTGAAAATCAGTCATGGAAGCTGACTAGTGCTGTTAATGCTCGAAAAATCGAAAATGAAAGCATCTCTGGGGACTCCACAATGAATTTAATCGCTTAATTATGATGCAAAATTTGGATTATTGCAGTGCAAAGCTCCGTCCCAGCTACTTTTATTTCTATAGAAAAACTACATATAAAGTCATGATTACTATTGAAAACAAACCCTTTTCTGAAATCGCTAGTGAGAGTATCCCGTGAAATGTCATAGCCTACTGACGCCGCTTTGTCAGCAGTGAATGGCCCAGGGATGTCCACGTCGATATTCATCACTGCTAAACGATCAATTGGTAGTCTAAAAAGCTGAACAAATAGTAAAGCACAACGAATAAATAATGAGGAGGGCATAGCGAAGATATGGGGAGGAGGTAGCTTGGCTTTTTGCCCCACCTGCTGGTGTTCCCACGTTTCAAGTGGAAAGCCAACAGGCTTGGGAGATCTCTGAGCAATGGGAGATCTGTAGGCATAGGTGACGATTCATTCGTTTGATTTCGACTGCCATTTGTTGACTTCAATTTGTTTGACTGCAAAGTATGACTGCATTAGGATACAAGCAGCAGCAAATATAATCATTGGGAAGGATTGAACTCCAACTCTTCGAATGAATTGTAGGCTCTTGCCCCTGCACCCTCGTTCCAACCCCCCCCCCCCCCCCCCCCCTCTTTGCTACATTCATTTTAATTGGGGATTGATATCATCAGAAAACGAATTCGTGTGGAATTACAGCAACGCTACTTTATATTTCGCTTTGAAAAGCTGAACTGGGTAGAAGTGAGTGTATAGAATGGCCGGGAAAGTTGTCATTTTTGTTGGCATGCCCTAAAATAAAGGTGCTCTGAATGCTTAGAACCGCTATCTCTCCTGTCGGAGGTCAAATAATAAACAGAAGCGAAAGATTTGTCTTCATATGTCATATGTTTCCATGTAGTTGACTTCCTTTCAAGTCGAACAATATGAATACATCAGTCGGATAGCGCGGCTGACGCCGGGCTCTCCTCTTTCTTGTGTTGAGGTTTACACGCCGCTTGCATTTTCCCAAGTTCGAAAGCTC